CCCCCTTGGGTTTTCAAAAGATATTGTAATGACACTTTGTAAAACATTCACCAGTCTAAGACAACCACTTTTCTCCTCAACAATGGGTTGCTGTTTTGGACAATTTGGAAAGTATTATTATTTACCTAATCTATTCTTAAAGGGATGTCGCCACTGTCAGGCTGACTTCCAGCAATGTACAATTCAGCTTATGTGTGTCAATAACAAACCTTGTGTATCTGACAGCCACAGATTCAGAACTAACAAATGGCTAAAATTAAGAGCAAAGGCACAGTAAATGATGTTCCCACAAGAATTAAGGGAGCCATCTATAAACTGTAGAATTTCCAAACCTATCTAAGCATACGGAAAAATGAAAAGCTGACATTTATAGCAGAAAAAGAAAGGAAGTAAAATTGTCTTTCTAAAAACAAAACAAAAACTTTAAAAACTTAAAAACTTCACACTACAAATCTGGAAACTTCTAGAAAAGTGGGACCCCTTAATAAAACCACTCACATGATTGCAGACTGTTCCCCACTCCCCATCAATCTCCACTTCCAGACGACCCTCAAACTCATCACGGCCATCCACTAGCCTCACACTGGCCGTACGATTCTCCATGGGGACAAACTCCTCAGAATCATCCAGATCAAAATTCACGGGTGTGGTGGTTTTGCCTCCATCTGCGATCAAAATACCGTGGACGACCATCCCAACAGAAGGGGCAAACTTCAAAGTACAGTCAGGCTCTACAACCAGTGTCTTAGAAAAGAAAATAAAAGAATAAAAGATATTTTTAAAGAAACAGACAAATGATCTTTTGAAAAACAAAAGTACTCTATCATTAAAATCCAGAGGTACCAAACAAATTCTCTGATGCAAAAAAAGTATTTATGTCATCTACAAAGCAACATGTAATACATTTTAGAAGATAAAAAAGTCATATTCACTGCTATTACCAACAAAGCTCCAGGGGATAAAAGAAATTCATATGATCTGTAAATCTACAATCGATCAATTTCTTAGAAAAACAAAAATTCATGCCATGTACATTTCCACTAACAACTGTCCCATGCAATTTTTTAATAGTCAAGAATTTTGTAAAGAGACTATTAATGAGCAAAACTTTCACAACCTTCTGTCAAGATTTTAACCTCTACCTACATAATTTACTGCTTCATCTGGTCCCAACCCCAAGAAAAAACTTCAGGGCCTTCGATCTTTTGTTTTTCAGGAAGGATATACCGTGTATTTCCGAGAGTATTTATAAGTAACTCAAAAAGTTCCCACATGACAGATGAGCTGCCTAGAAACTGCACTACCATTCTGCATCAATCTTCTTCTGTACTCATGTTTCATGGTTGATCCAGTCAACAAGAAATTTTAATCGAATGACTATGAAAAAAATATAAAAAGGACACTATTTTCTGCATCACAAGTCTAGGTGGATGCTGTTCTCATTTGCCTATACTCCTGTTCATGACTAGAACTGAACTTTTCAACATCAAAATTTGTCTCTCTCGAATCCTTTTTCACCGAAGCCAGGCCTTTACAATCCAGTTGTTCAAGCCATCACATCATCAAAATAATTGCATCAAAAACCATCCATTGACTGACATTTCAAAAGTTCCATAGAAGGACAGCCTCGGTGCCAGACATGTGTCACACAATCTATCATTATATCAATGCATTGTTTCACACCTTTTATAAATACACCACAACAGAATACATCTCCGCCC